TTATCCAGTTTAGTGCTTTATTTGATTATAATAAGAGTTTGTACAAGGATAGTGAGGCTCAGCTTAGAGAATGTAGGAGAGAGGGAGATTATTTTCCAGTAAAAGTAGGCCTTAGACAAGGATGCATGATGTCACCATGGTTATTTAATATATTTATAGATGGGGTTGCAAGTGAAGTAAATGCTCAGGTGTTGAGAAGAGGTGTGGGATAAAAAGATAAAGAATCCAACACAAAGTGAGAGGTATCACAGTTGCTTTTAGTTGATGACACTGTGGTTTTGGGGGATTCTGAAGAGAAGTTGCAGAAGCTGGTGGACGAATTTGGAAGGGTATGTAAAAGAAGGAAATTGAAAATGAACAAAGGAAAGAGCAAGGTGATGATCATAACAAAATGTTTAGGTAATGAAAGATTAAATATCTGATTGGAGGGAGGGAATATGGAGGAAGCGAATGTGTTCAGATATTTGGGAGTGGACGTGTCAGCAGATGGGTCTATGAAAGATGAGGTAAACCATAGAATTGATGAGGGAAAATAAGGTGAGTGGTGCACTGAGGAGTCTGTGGAAACAAAGTACCTTATCAATGGAATCAAAGAGGGGAATGTATGAAAGTATAGTGGTACCAAAGCTATTATATGGGTGTGAAGCATGGATGGTAAATGTTGCAACAAGAAGGCTGGAGGTAGTGGCGATTCCATGTCTGAGAATAATGTGTGGTGTGAATATTATGCAAAGAATCCATAGATTGGAGATTAGGAGGTGCAGGGTTCTAAAAGTATTGTCCAGAGGGCTGAGGAGGGGTTGTTGAGATGGTTTAGATATTTAGTGAGGATGGAACAATATAGAATGATTTGAAGGGTGTAGTTTAAGGAAGGTGTTGTCCCAGGAAAGACTGGAGGGAAGGGATAAAGGAGGTTTCATGTGCAAGGGGCATTGGCTTCCAGCAAGTATGCGTAAGTGTGTTAGACAGGAAAGAGTGGAGGCAAATGGCTTTTTTGACTTGATATGCTGTTGAAGTATGAAGGGATTCAGGGAAACTGGTTAGCCAGACTTGATTCCTGGAGGTGGGAAGTACAGTGCCTCTGCTCTGAAGGATAAGTGAGGATGTTACAGTCCTGGAGGTGTGAAGTACAGTGCCTGTGCTCTGAAGGAGGGGTGGAGATATTGTGCAGTTTTTGAACTGTAGTGTCAGTACACCTCTGGCAAGACAGTTTTGGAGTGAGTGATGATGACAGTGTATTTTCTTTTTTGGGTCACCCTGCCCCGGTGGGAAATGGCCAGTGTGTTAATAAAAAAAAAATAAAAATATGCATGCATTTGTTTAACAATTTGCAAACGGTGCCAATTATTTACAAACATTATCTCATAGTCTACAGCAGGATTTGAACCTGCACACTCTGTATCAAAGTGGGAATTTTTTGTGTAACCTAATTGTGGTTGCAGGGGTTGAGTTGCAGCTCCTGGCCCTGCCACTTCACTGGTCACTACTAGGTCACTCCCTGCTCCATGAGTCTTATCATACCTCTTCCTACAGCTATGTATGGATTGCACCTCCACTATATCACTCCAGACTATTCCCCCTCAAGGGGGAATTGGATTTGTGCTCTGGTTCCCTGAATTGAGCCTGAATACCTTCCATCCCCCCCAACATGCGCTGTATAATCTTATGGGTTTAATGCTTCCCCATGATTATAATTAATTATCCAGACTATTCCACTTCCTAACAACTCTGTGACTGAAGAAATGCTTCCTAATATCCCTGTGACTCATCTGAGTCTTCAGCTTCCAACTGTGGTCCATTGTTGCTGTGTCCTATCTCTGGAACATCCTGTCTCTGTCCACCTTGTCAATTCCTCTCAGTATTTTATGTCATTATCATGTCCCCCTCTCCTGTCCTCCATTGTCGTCAGGTTGATTTCCCTTAACCCTCTACTCGTAGGACATACGCCTTATCTCCAGGATTAGTCTCGTTGCAAACTTTTGCACTTTCTCTAATTTCTTGATGTACTTGACCAGGTGTGGGTTCCAAACTGTACTGTATACTCTAGTATGGGTGTGATGTACACTGTGTACAGAGTCCTGAACATTCCTTACTGTGTCGGAATGCTATTCTTAGATTTGCTAGTCACTCATATGCTGCAGTAGTTATTTGGTTGATGCGTGCCTCAGGAGATGTTCTTGGTATTATACTCACCCCAAGATCCTTTTCCTTGAGTGAGGTCTGCAGTATCTGGTCCCCTAGACTGTACTGTCTGTGGTCTTCTTTGCCCTTCCTTGATCTTCATGACTGTGTCTGTGCACACGTGCATATGTGTGCGTGTGAGCATGCATGCACGCACGCACGCACGCATACATGCATGTGCATGCATACGTGTATGTATACCTAACATTTTTTTCTGAAAAAAACATCTTTTGGCAATTCAGCTAATTCTGCCTCAAAAAACTCACTGTACAGAGAGAGCTACGTGGTTATGTGTAACCTATCTTAGTGTATGTGAGTTACATGTAACCTATCCTAGAGTGTACATGGTTACATGTAACCTATCGTAGTGTATGTGATTATATGTAACCTATCCTAGAGTGTACATAGTTATATGTAAGATAAGATTTTGTTTGGATTTTTAACCACGCAGGGTTAGCCACCCAGGATAACCCAAGAAAGGCAGTGCATCATCAAGAACTGTCTGTCTTATTTCCATTGGGGTCCTCAATCTTGTTGCACAGGATGTGACCCACACAAGTCGACTAACACCCAGGTACTTACTTGCTGCTAGGTGAACAGGACAACAGATGTATGGAAATACGTCAAAATGTTTCTAACCCACTAGGAATCAAACCCGGGCCCTCTGTGTGAATACCTGGAAAGGGTTTCGGGGGTCAACACCCCCGTTGCCCGGTCTGTGACCAGGCCTCATGGTGAATCAGGGCCTGATCAACCAGGCTGTTGCTATTGACCGCACGCAACCCGATGTATGAACCACAGCCCGGCTGGTCAGGTACTGACTTTAGGTGCCTGTCCAGTGCCTTCTTGAAGACAGCCAAGGGTCTATTGGTAATCCCCCTTATGTATGCTGGAAGGCAGTTGAACAGTCTTGGGCCCCTGACACTTACTGTGTTGTCTCTTATCGAGCTAGTGGCACCCTTGCTTTTCATTGCGGGGATGTTGCATCATCTGCCAAGTCTTTTGCTTTTATAGGGAGTGATTTTCGTGTGCAAATTTGGTACTAATTCCTCTAGTATATTCTAAATTTATATAATCAAGTATCTCTCCCGCCTACGTTCTAGGGAGTACAGTTTGAGGAACTTCAAGCGTTCCCAGTAATTGAGGTGTTTTGTCGCAGTTATGTGTGCCGTGAAGGTTCTCTGTTCATTTTCCAGGTCAGCAATTTCACCTGCCTTGAAAGGTGTTGTTAGTGTGCAGCAATATTCCAGCCTAGATAGAACAAGTGACCTGAAGAGTGTCATCATGGGCTTCTCATCCCTAGTTCTGAAGGTTCTCATTATCAATCCTGTCCTTTTTTTAGCAGATGTGATTGAATGTTATGGTCTTTGAAGGTGAGACCCTCTGACATGATCACTCCCAGGTCTTTTACATTAGTTTTTCGCTCTATTTTGTGGTTGGAATTTGTTTTATAATCCGATATAGTTTTAATTTCCTCACGTTTTCCATATCGAAGTAATTGAAATTTCTCATCATTGAACTTCATATTGTTTTCTGCGGCCCATTTAAAGATTTGGTTGATGTCCGCCTGGAGTCTTGTGGTGTCTTTAGTGGAGGTCACTGTCATGCAAATTCGGGTGTCTGCAAAGGAAGACACGGTGCTGTGACTTACATCCCTGTTTATGTCAGATATCAAGCGAGAGCTTTGCCAGCCAGGCCAAGGGGGTCACCCCATCCTAGAGTGTACGTGGTTATATGTAACCCATCCTAGAGTGTACATGGTTATATGTAACCCATCCTAGAGTGTACATGGTTATATGTAACCCATCCTAGAGTGTACATGGTTATATGTAACCCATCCCAGAGTACTTGGTTATATGTAACCCATCCTAGAGTGTACGTGGTTATATGTAACTCATCCTAGAGTGTACATGGTTATATGTAACCCATCCTAGAGTGTACGTGGTTATATGTAACCCAACCTAGAGTGTACATGGTTATATGTAATCCATCCCAGAGTGTACTTGGTTATATGTAACCCATCCTAGAGTGTACGTGGTTATATGTAACCCATCCTAGAGTGTACATGGTTATATGTAACACATCCTAGAGTGTACATGGTTATATGTAACACATCCTAGAGTGTACATGGTTATATGTAACCCATCCTAGAGTGTACGTGGTTATATGTAACACATCCAAGAGTGTACATGATTATATGTAACCCGTCCTAGAGTGTACGTGGTTATATGTAACACATCCTAGAGTGTACGTGGTTATATGTAACACATCCTTGAGTGTACATGGTTATATGTAACACACCCTAGAGTGTACATGGTTATATGTAATCCATCCCAGAGTGTACATGGTTATATGTAATTCATCCCAGAGTGTACGTGGTTATATGTAACCCATCCTAGGGTATACGTAGTTATATATAACAATCTAGTGTACGTGGTTATATGTAATCTACCCTTGAGTGTATGTGGTTATATGTAACTTACGCTAGATTATACGTGATTATACGTAATGTACCCTAGAGTGTGAGTGGTTATTTGTGGGTATATGTGAGTTATTAAGAGTGACGTTGGGAATTAGCGAGGTGCTCTGAAGGACACACTGACACCAACATTAATGTTTGACTAATACATTTGGGCTTCAAAACTTAATACAAGAGAAAGAACCAATGAACATCACAGCACTGTTGATGGTAAAATAACAGAACTAAAGAGTACGAGTACTTTATTAACATGAAGGATCATATTTATAAAGTAAAGCACTGCATGGCAACCTCGAGCGAGTTCTACTTCACCATTACAATCACTTATAATCAGTAGTTACTTGACTGTGGAGGAGGGAGGGAGTACGTGAAGCTGCTAGAGAAATATAAGTAAGTTCATTTAGGCACTGATACATACAAGTTTAATTACCTTACATAGTGTAAATTACCTAGGATAACCCCCAAAAAGGTCACTGACATTTCCATTGGGGTCCTTGTAGTATCTTATTATCTATAATATTAATAAGTTATTTATTACCACTATATTTCTAAAAGAGTTTTGAACTTCATTCATTTATATTATTATTACCATGGTCTGGTAGGCAACGCTCTGGCTTCACACATTGAGTGTCTGGGTTCGATTCCCGGTACGGGTGGAAATATTTAAGACGTATTTCCTTAGACACCTGTTGTTCCTGTTCACTTATTCATTATGATGATGTTGGTGAGGGGCTCTTGATTTAGGAAATTGGATCTGTGCTCCAGTTCCCCGAATTAAGCCTGAATGCCTTCCACATCCCCCCCCAGGCGCTGTATAATCATCCGGGTTTAGCGCTTCCCCTTGATTATAATAATAATAATAATAATAATAATCATTATGATGAATAATGGCTCTGCTAGTTCCTATCTCTACTGTTCTGCTTTCTTCAAACTCATTTTGCTGGTTCCTTTCTGACAATATTTCGTAAACCTGTTTGAGAAACCAAAATTATAATCAGCATTATTTTTATTTAATGCGTGTTCAGCTGATTCATCAACTTTGTCATGTTTTTGGAGGCTTATATGAGAGGGAATCCACAAAAGTTTAACTTGAATCCCTCAGGCTATTTAGAACTAATAATGAAGAAATGTGGGTCACAAGTGCAGTGTGTTGGTGGATAATGGATCTGTTTATATCAGTATTCTTCAAGTTTGTGTCTTGTGGTTTAGCGCTTCTTTTTGATTATAATAATAATTCAAGTTTGTTTGCTAGTTCCTCTTTGACCATGTTTCATAAGCATCTGTTTGAGAAACCAAAAATTATATTCGCTTTATTTAATGCTGGTTCAGCTATATCATCAGCTGTGTTGTACTCTTCAAGGATCTATGTATGAAGAAACCCACAAGATAAGATTTTCTTCGGATTTTTAACCCCGGAGGGTTAGCCACTCAGGATAACCCAAGAAAGTCAGTGCGTCATCGAGGACTGTCTAACTTATTTCCATTGTGATCCTCAATCTTGTCCCCCAGGATGCGACCCACACCAGTCCACTAACACCCAGGATGCGACCCACACCAGTCCACTAACACCCAGGATGCGACCCACACCAGTCCACTAACACCCAGGATGCGACCCACACCAGTCCACTAACACCCAGGATGCGACCCACACCAGTCCACTAACACCCAGGTACCTACTTGCTGCTAGGTGAACATGACAATAGGTGTATGGAAACACGTCGAAATGTTTCCATCCCGCCGGGAATCGAACCCGGGGCCTCCGTGTGTGAAGCGAGAGCTTTACCCACCAGGTCACTTTTTCCGTCGATCTCCAACAAAAATTTGGTCAATATATTTTGCCCGACCCTGGAGACGGGGAGACTTAATAAAGCGTAAAGTTTAGTGGCCTTTTACAGCCTCATCCCCTCAGGAGGAGGACATGTTGCATTAGGTATTATTTAGAATTTAACCTAGGATAACCAGTTAATGTCAAGCATTGTAACTTATCATAAGGGTTTGTGTTACATAATCGTATATATTTTCATATATATACATGTTGCCTTAGCGTATACCCATAGTCATAAAAATCAAGCGTCCTCTTTAACGTACTCAAGTCGAATTTCAGTAATTTTACTGCTAACGAAAAGTTGTTCCATATATAAATTTAATGAAACTATTGGAAAGAATTAACCAAACGTACACTAATCTCGTTTAACTAAATTATGTTAATGGACCAATCATGTTTATAATTGGTCATTGTGTCCACAAAGTCCTTTTCCGGTTTCAATTATTATTTTTTAATCAAACTGATGAAGTACAAAAATGCAATTTCTGCATTTGATAGCTAAAGTAGACAATTTTTATAGAGGTTCACGTTTGCTGCTGCATACATCAATATGTGCACCTCTAATAGTTCATAACATTTCATCAATACATAATAATGGAGAGGCACTGCAGTAGGCCTATTGGCCCATACTAGGCAGGTACTCAAACCCAGCCCTTCTCACTTGTTATTTAAACAACCCAAGGTGTTAGTATCTTGTAATTATCAGCTGTTATTATCTAGTTCATTACACATATTGGCCAACATATCGAGTGTAACTTTAGTGATGTCATCACTTACTCTAGGATGGAGGTTTTTGATGTCACCTCCTGGTATCTAGAAAACTTAATCCTTCATAAACATCCACCTACAGGAAGTCCAGAGTCTTGATATCAGGGAACCATGGAATGACCATTTGAAGAATTATTATTATTATATTTATGGGGGAGCACTAAACCCGTAGGATTATACAGTGCATGTGGGGGGATGGGAGGCATTCAGGCTCAATTCAGGGAACTGGAGCATGGATCCAATTCCCTAGATCAAGAGCCCTTCACCAGCATCAAGGAACCTCCCTTGAGGGGTAACCATTTAATGAAGCCATCATGCCCTACCTATCTGCCAGGGAATTTCACTTTGTGATAATTAGGCTAATATATGCAGGAAGCTACATTTTCATGTCTTTTTACCATATTGTAATTATGTTCTAAAAGTGGAAAAGGATCTCGTGTATAAGTATTTTAACAAGTCACTGAGATTGGCTGGATATATTGCTGACATCAATGATTTTTAAAGCTTGTGACTCTAACACCTTAGTGACAGTACCAGAGGAAAAGCAATGCAAAAATAAATACAGTAAACCTTCCATTTAATGAACTTCAATTTAACAAATTTCAAACATATAGGACATAATCTACTATGTCACTTAATCTGGAAACTGACAAAGTCTGGTTGTTTTAAAATTGTCCACTGCTATTATGATCAGGGCAAAACAGTCTCATCTTTACCCAGTACAATTGTCATTACTGGCCACTTGTTCCACTTCACCTTTGGTCTGTCAAATTGAGGATTATATCAGATCATGGTTTCCTTATAAATATTTTAACAATGCTGTATCCAGTTTACCTCCAGGTAAACTCCACATAAGCATTTAGTGGACTACTGAGGAGAGAGAGAGTGGCCATTAATGATGATTGGGGTGAATAGAGATGAGATTGTTTTGGCATGGCTCAAGGCCTAGATATAAGTCATTGTCTGACTTTTTGGGTTATCCTAAGTAATCTATACATATGCTATTACGTATGAAGCTGTATAGCCCTTGTGGCTTAGTGCTTCTTTTTGATTATAATAATAATATTACGTATGAAAATCTATGTAACTGTATTTGTGTACCTGGAGTTTACCTGGAGAGAGTTCCGGGGGTCAACGCCCCCGCGGCCTGGTCTGTGACCAGGCCTCATGGTGGATCAGGGCCTGATCAACCAGGCTGTTACTGCTGGCTGCACGCAATCCAACGTACGAGCCACAGCCCGGATGGTCAGGTACCGACTTTTGGTGCTTGTCCAGTGCCTGCTTGAGGACCACCAGGGGTCTATTGGTATTCCCCCTTATGTATGCTGGGAGGCAGTTGAACAGTCTTGGGGCCCCAGACACTTATTGTGTTGTCTCTTAACGTGCTAGTGACACCCCTGCTTTTCATTGGAGGGATGTTGCATCATCTGCCGAGTCTTTTGCTTTCGTAGTGAGTGATTTTTGTGTTCAAGTTTGGTACTAGTCCCTCTAGGATTTTCCGGGTGCATATAATCATGTATCTTTCCCGCCTGCATTCCAGGGAATACAGGTTCAGGAACTTCAAGCGTTCCCAGTAATTAAGGTGTTTTATCTCTGTTATGCATGCCGTGAAGGTTCTCTGTACATTTTCTAGGTCAGCAATTTCACCTGCCTTGAAAGGTGCTGTTAGTGTGCAGCAATATTCCAGCCTAGATAGAACAAGTGACCTGAAGAGTGTCATCATGGGCTTGGCCTCCCTAGTTTTGAAGGTTCTCATTATCCATTATCATTTTTCTAGCAGATGCGATTGATACAATGTTATGGTCCTTGAAGATGAGATCCTTCGACATGATCACTCTCAGGTCTTTCACGTTAGTTTTTCGCTCTATTTTGTGGCTGGAATTTGTTTTATACTCTGATGAAGTTTTCATTTCCTCAAGTTTACCATATCGGAGTAATTGAAATTTCTCATTGTTGAACTTGTACCTGTACCTGAATAAAACTTAATTACTTATCGCTCTCACTTCACATGCTGAATGTCCGTGGTTTGATCTCTGGCAAGGGTGGAAACATTGAGTGTTTCCATACACTTGTGGTCCCATTCACCTAGCAAGCAAATAGGTACCTGGGTGTTAGTCGATTGGCATGGGTCGCATCCTGGGGGACAAGATTGAGGACTCCCTGTGGAAATAAGACAGACAGTTCCTCGATGACGCACTGCCTTTCTTGGGTTATCCTGGGTGGCGAACCCTCTGAGGTTAAAAATCTGAACAAAATCTTATCTTACAATATAACTATTGGACTTCGTTGTTACCAACTCAGTTTACCTGTATTTCCGAAGTTCATTACATCACAGTCTGTTAAATCAAGAGTTTACATTACAGGAAATGATTGTCCTTCCTTTAACATATTAGTGAGCTTAAGTTAAGTGAATAGCACTTTATTTCCACTTACGTCTTCTCCCACCAGGTTTTATCTAAATTGAAATTAATTTTGTTGGTCGTCATCCAGTTTGATATTTTATGTAGCTCACTGTTTACAGTGTTACTAAGTATTGACAGGTTTGGGTTTACCTGGAGTTTACCTGGAGAGAGTTCCGGGGGTCAACGCCCCTGCGGCCCGGTCTGTGACCAGGCCTCCTGGTGGATCAGAGCCTGATCAACCAGGCTGTTACTGCTGGCTGCACGCAAACCAACGTACGAGCCACAGCCCGGCTGGTCAGGAACCGACTTTAGGTGCTTGTCCAGTGCCAGCTTGAAGACTGCCAGGGGTCTGTTGGTAATCCCCCTTATGTATGCTGGGAGGCAGTTCAACAGTCTCGGGGCCCCTGACACTTATTGTATGGTCTCTTAACGTGCTAGTGACAGAGACCATACAATAAGTGTCAGGGGCCCGAGACTGTTCAACTGCCTCCCAGCATACATAAGGGGGATTACCAACAGACCCCTGGCAGTCTTCAAGCTGGCACTGGACAAGCACCTAAAGTCGGTTCCTGACCAGCCGGGCTGTGGCTCGTACGTTGGTTTGCGTGCAGCCAGCAGTAACAGCCTGGTTGATCAGGCTCTGATCCACCAGGAGGCCTGGTCACAGACCGGGCCGCAGGGGCGTTGACCCCCGGAACTCTCTCCAGGTGAACTCCAGGTAAACCCAAACCTGTCAATACTTAGTAACACTGTAAACAGTGAGCTACATAAAATATCAAACTGGATGACGACCAACAAACTTACTTTCAATTTAGATAAAACCTATTTCATGCTGTTTGGAAACAGAGCATTAAATATCCAGCTAAACATCGATAAATGGTTCACCCTTTACAAGACACACTGAGGGCAAATTTCTAAGTCTCCACCTTGACTGTAATCTTAAATTTCAGACCCACATCCAGCATATAACTAAGAAATTTTCCAAAACAGTAGGTATCATTTCCAAGATACGATACTGTGCCCCAAAGGGTGCTCCTTACTTTATATCACTCTAGTATACCCTTACCTCACCACGATCAGTCACTTTAAACCTTTAATAAACCAACATAAAGCGGCAGTGCAGATGATCACGAACTCCAGCGCCAGACAACACACCCCACCACTCTTCTGAAGCTTGAACTTACCTAATACGTATATAAAATATACACACTTATTACTGTGCCTACTATATATACAGAACATTAAACTCCAATACCAACCCTCCACTCAGACTTCTTCTAGACAGCTTCAGCAGAACATATAGCCATAACACAAGGCACAGAACACTTTTTTGACATCCCTCGTGTCCGTCTCGCACTATGCAAAAATGCAATGCACATAAAGGGCCCTAAGATCTGGAACTTCTTGCCTGAAACAGCAAGAGGTCCCCTGCCCACAAATCAATTTAGGACTATACTCAAAAGTCGTCTCATCTCTCAATGACAACCATACCCACACTTTGCTAAACTCTGAGCAAATTTGAAGCAACTCTCCCAAATATTTTATTATCCCTTAACTATAAAGCCATTATTACAAATTTAAAAATGTATGTTTGTTTCGTTAATTGTACTACCTCAGATTAATAATAGAGTAAAATATTGAATATTGTTTTCTATGACTCTTCACCTGTTTAGACTTAATTAGTCTATAAGCATTAGGTTGAGTCTGCCCGAAATGCCTCGGCATGATAGTGGCTTTCTTTGTACTAATCAAATCATGAAACAATATAAGCACACATTGTAACCTTAGCAAAGAAATAAATTTTATTTTATTTTTATATTAGTGTAGACCTGAGAAACCATAACTCTGACTCTAGTCTCTTCCAACCTTTTCTTGATACTCTTGTCAATCCTGCTCCTTCTGCCAAATTCAAAGCGGAATAGTAATCTAATTCATTTCTTCCTTTCCATGATGTTCATATCCACTTCTCTGTGACAGGCTTTTCTTTTTCCATTAACTACATACCTATGTACTATGGCATATATATTCACTATAGCATATGTAGTCTTGTTTCTATGTTTCTCTCTCTCTCTCTCTCAAATAAGATTAGATACTTTATTTCAGCATGATACAATGTTTGTACAGAGGTGAATGACATTTAGGTGTGCATGCACAAAGACCCTTAATATGCAGAGCATTTCGGGCAAACTTAAGACTAACAAAATTAATAAGGCAATGACAAATTGAGTGGTTTTATGTACAGTCTCTTAGGTGGTTGTAAAAATAAATTTAGGAGTTACAATGAATACAAGAGAATTGAATATCCTATCTGTACATACTATATGGCTTTTATCGAGTTTAATTGTTTAAAGAATTACAGGTCTGGAAACAGAGAGATAAACTTAACTAAACCAGATGAATCTCACATACAGCCTGTAGACATGGCCAACAAATTTAATGTATTCTTCTCTACTGTAGGATCAAAGCTAGCAAGTAAAATTCCTTGGTCAGATACCTAGCTGAAAGACTACCTCACTGGCAGCTACCCAAATACTCAATATCTAGCTCCAACTAATTCTACTGAAGTCTCACTCATCATTAAATCATTAAAAAACAAAGCAGGAGATCTGGATAACTTACCCATTATTGCAACAATGTAGCATCCTCAACCTTCCCATCTATACTCAAGACAGCAAGGGTTACCCCGATCCTCAAAGGAGGTGATCCAGTGGACTTGAACAACTATAGACCCATATCAGACTTGCCCTTACTTTCCTAAATATTTGAAAAAATAATACACAAATGACTTTACTCCTACCTTATATCCAACAACATACTTAACCCCTGCCAGTTTGGGTTTAGACCGAAAAAAAAGTACGAATGATGCTATTATACAAATGCTTGAACTAATATAGACAGCTCTCGATAAAAATGAATATCCCCTGGGGCTCTTCATTGACCTATGAAAATCATTTGATACAGTCGACCACAATCTCCTACACCTAAAACTGAATCATTATGGCATCAGAGGACATTCCCTCAATTACCAAAAATCTTAACAACAGACACCAGCATGTATATATGCAAATGGAGTCAACTCTGCTATCCAGCCTGTAGCTGTAGGAGTACCCTAGGCCCACTCCTCTTTCTCATCTACAACAGTGATCTCCCCTGTGCAACCCAACTCCTTAAACCAGTTCTATTTTCAGAAAACACTACTTATATCATCTCCCATTTGAACCCAGCTGTACTTAGAAACACTGTAAACAACGAGCTACTAAAAATGTGTATGTACTTGGATGATGACCATCAAACTCACTCTCGACATAGATAAAACGTGCTTCATGCTGTTTGGCAACAACAGAGCCTTAAATATCCAACTTAATACATCGATAAATGGTTCCCCTATATCAAGATACACTGAGGGTAAATTTCTAGGTCTTCTCCTTGACTGTAATCTTAAATTTCATTCCCATATCCAACACATACCCAAGAAAATTTCCAAATCAGTAGGCATCCTTTCCAAGCTATGATATTATCTTGGAATACTATGTACCACATGATACTATGATACTATGTACCACAAATGACACTCCTTACCCTATACCACTCTTTTTATATATCCTTACCTCACCTATGGTATTTATGCCTGGGGATCAACCACAGCCAACCACCTTAACCCTTTGACTGTTTACGCCGTATAAATATGTCTTACACGCCACTGTTTCTGACGTATATATACTCAATAATTCTAGCGGCTTCAAATCAAGCAGGAGAAAGCTGGTAGGCCCACATGTGAGAGAATGGGTCTGTGTGGTCAGTGTGCACCACATTAAAAAAATCCTGCAGCACACAGTGCGTAATGAGAAAAAACCCGATCGTTTTTTTGGATTAAAACGCCGACTTTGAGGTGTATTTTCGTATAGTATTTATTGTTGTATTCGTGTTTTCATGGTCTTTGGTGATAAAATGGAAAACATATTACAGAAATAGAGATGATTTTCATTACTTTGACGATGAAAACGACCTTGAAACTGAGCTCAAAGTAGCGGAAATGTTCGATTTTTACCAATGTTCAGGAGTAAACAAATCACACCACACGTCCAATACACGTCAACTGGGGAGTCTAATATTCTTTCACTAGTGCACTGATATTATTTATAAAATTTTTACAATAATGCAGTAGTCTGCATAACAGTAAATTTTGTATTTTTTTGTATAAAAAAAATCAAAATAGAAAACAATAATAATATGAGGGGCCTAGAGATGTGACTAATGAACAGAGGATATGTTATTTTAGTGCCAAGAATGTCTACCTTGTTTATTCTGGGCCCTATTTTGAAATTGGCATCTTTTTTAATTTGCATGAAATTGGCCAAATTGCCAATTTCTGACCACTATATTGGGTAGTTCAAATTGGTAAATGGGCAGTTTCTTGTACTCAGCTGATAGATAAAATGGAGTTCTAAAGAAATAGTTATTAGTTTGGTCAACTGGAACAATGGAATTGGTTGAAAACAGGGCTCAAAGTCGGAGAAATCGCCGATACGCATATGTCGCCGAGACCGCTAACTTCGCGGGAGCATAATTCCATGAGTTTTCGACCAAATTTCGAATTTTTGGTGTCATTACCATCGGGAAAAGATTCTCTATCATTTCATATTTTTTTTTTTTTTTTTCAAAAATTTATCGACATAGAATGAGTTTCAGAAAGGGGCCTGCGACAGTCAAAGGGTTAAAGCTTTAATAACCCAACAAAAAGCTGCTGTGCAGATGATTACCAGCTCCTGAGCTAGACAGCCCACCCCACCACTCTTCAAAAGCCTGAACTTGCTAAATATATGAGACATACACTCATGTTATTGTGCCTACTGCATATACAGAACATTAAATTCCACTGTAAACCCTCCACTTATACTACTACTTGACAGTTACAACAGAATGCACAGTCACAGTACAAGGCATAAGGCACTCTTCAACATCCCTCATGTCAGTCTCACTATGCAAAAACGCTATGCACATAAAGGGCCCGAAGATCTGGAACTCTACCGGAACAGGTAAAGGATCCCCTGACTACTTATAAATTTAGGACTTTGCTAAAAAATCATCTTATCTCTCAATACTAACCAATTCAACCAAAACAAATGCTAATTAGCCAGTCCATGAAATATTACTGCCTGAACCATTATTTGTAATATTGTTTTTATTATGTGCAACTTCAGGATTATTATTCTTAAAAACCTCCATCTTGACTACCTCACATTAGTATTAAGATTAAATAAAATTGTAATACAGTTATCTATTACTATCTTGTCTAGTTTTAAGCAGTTACTATGTACAGTACTATTATCTGTCTAGTTTTAAGTAGTTTCTCTGTATTAGGATTAGTCTGCCCGAAATGCCCCGGCATGATAGTGGCTTTCTTTGTACTTAGCAAACCAAAATTGTAATTACACATTGTAACCTTTACAAAGAAATAAACCTTTATCTTTTATCTTTAATATAAGTAATGAGGATTTAGTATATTAACATAATGTGGACACAGTCAATGTTTTAATGATTGTGAGGACTACAGATATCAAATCAAATCAAAATTTGTGTAAGTAGTATACCAACTTTAGTTTACATGTAATCAAAATTTTATTTCTTTGTGTAGTATACAAACTGTAGTTTACATGTAATAAAGTATTGTCAAGCACAAAGAAAGCCACTGGCATGCATGACCATTTTGGGCAGACTAATCTTAATGCTTACATACTACTAAAAAAATAACACTCACTCTTTGTCTCTGCCTCTGTCTGTATCTGTCTGTGTCTGTCTATCTGTGTCTGCCTGTCTGTGTGTCTGTCTGTATGTCTGTGTGTCTGTACTCACCTAGTTATTGCAGGGGTTGAGTCATAGCTCCTGGCCCCGCCTCTTCACTGGCCGCTACTGGATCACTCTCCCTGCACCATGAGCTATGAATGGATCCTGCCTCCACTACATCGCTTCCCAAACTATTCCACTTCCTGACTTCTCTGTGACTGAAGAAATACTTCCTAGCATCCCTGTGATTCATCTTTGTCTTCAACTTCCAACTGTATCCCCTTGTTGCTGTGTCCCATCTCTGGAACATTGTCTCTGTCCACCTTGTCAATTCCTCTCAGTATTTTATATGTTGTTATCATGTCCCCCTATCTCTTCTGTCCTCCAGTGTTGTCAGGTCGATTTCCCTTAACCTCTCCTCGTAGGACATATCCCTTAGCTCTGGAACTAGTCTTGTTGCAAACCTTTGCACTTTCTCTAGTTTCTTTACATGCTTGGCTAGATGTGGGTTCCAAACTGGTGCCGCATAGTCCAATATGGGCCTAATGTACACAGTGTACAGGGTCCTGAACGATTCCTTATTAAGATGGTGCCCACTCTGACACCTCGCTTCGTACCATGACTCGCTGCTATCTTTCTGACAGGTATTCCCTGATCCATTGTAGATCCTTCCCTGTTATCCCTGCCTGGTCCTCCAGTTTTTGCACTAATCTCTGGTGTGGAACTATGTCAAATGCCTTCTTACAGTCCAAGAAACTGCAATCTACCCACCTCTCTCTCTCTCTCTCTTGTCTTACTGCTATCACCCTGTCATAGAACTCCAGTAGGTTTGTGACACAGGATTTCCTGTCCCTGAAACCGTGTTGGCCGTTGTTGATAAGTTCATTTCCTTCTAGGTGTTCCACCACTCTTCTGATAATCTCTATGACTTTGCATACTATACATGTTAGTGACACTGGTCTATAGTTTAGTGCTTCTTGTCTGTCTCATTTTTTTAAAAATTGGGACTCCATTTGCTGTCTTCCATACCTCAAGTAATCTCCCTGTTTCAACAGATGTGTTGAATATTGTTGTTAGGGGTACACATAGTGCCTCTGCATCCTCTTTCAGGACCCATGGAGAGATGTTATCTGGCCCCATTGCCTTTGAGGTGTCTAGCTCGCTCAGCAGCCTCTTCACTTCTTCCTCAGTTGTATGTATTGTGTCCAACACTTAGTGGTGTACCTCACCTCTACGTCTTTCTGGAGTCCCTTCTGTCTCCTCTGTGAACCCTTCTTTGAATCTCATGTTGAGTTCCTCACATACTTCTCAGTCGTTTCTTGTGATCTCTCCTCCTTCCTTCCTTAGCCTGATTACCTGGTCCTTGACTGTTGTTTTCCTCCTGATGTGGCTATACAACAGCTTCAGGTCAGATTTGGCTTTCTCTGCTATGTCATTTTCATATTGTCGTTGGACCTCCCTTCTTACCTGTGTATATTCATTTCTGGCTCTACGA